TGAGCAGCAGCAATGTCCTTATGAAGATGTCAGAAATCAATGAAGCATTGCAAGTTATCTCCATGGAGATGCAGGCTCTATTGTCAGTGTTACACCGTTCTTTGTTATTGGGGCATTCTGTTCCCCCACCTTGTCCGGCATAGTCTCTTCTCCCATCTCTTCAATTCATCTCCATCTGACATGATTATTGAGGGCACAGAAGTTATGATAGACAAGCATTCAGAAAGCTGGGACATTGACAGTTGAATAACGTGCGCCGTTGAGTGACGTCCCTGATAATTTCCCATTTCCGCTTTTATTGTATGAATAACACGTCTGTGCAGTAAGCACTTTATACTTTATAAGGTTGATAGACATGAGTGACATTTTCATGTGTGTAATTGCTCTACATTTGCTTTAGATTGTTTCACTGCTGGCTGGCTGTTTTATCAGTGAAATGCATTCTTGATCTAAGCCCTAATGACGGTGCTGGCTAAGTTGTGCCAAGTTGTTAGTGGCTACTCTACATATCTTAAAGGTGAAGAATGCATTCTTTTCATATGGGAGGATGATGCTTTTTCATTTGCCTCATGCATTCGCTCTGCATTCAGACAAGTGAAGTACATATAAGTAGAATGTTTTATGTATGTTAACAAAAGGTTCCATCCAAAGTGAATTGCTGAGAGACAGCTTCTCTGTGTATTAGCTGTTAATGGAACATTCTTTGTCCTCGTGACCCTTTAAATTAGTCACACCCACTCACACTTTGAGTGACCCCTTGTGACATCATTCAGTATGTGATGAAACCCTAGGTGTGGGTGAAGTGGGAGCTGCTCAGGTCATGTCTGCTCCCAGATTCTTTCCGTCTGCCTCATCTGTTTTATGGCTCACTCACCTCATAGGCTTATTCACCTTCTTTTTTTGCACGTAAACATCCTATTACTGCTGTTTTTCTGTGATGTTTAAATATAATTACACTCCCACTCAAAAGTGTGCAATCGCTGTTCATAAGGAATCTGTGTTTTCAATGATAGAAAACCAATTTGGTTGCAGACGCGTATAAAATGATTCTAATGTGCTCGTACTGTGCAAATTCACAGCTTTCAAATAATTAATTAGACAATAGAAAAGGTCTAAAATGACCGAGAAAGCTGTATAATGTCAAGAATGAAGTTATAATAAAAATAATATCCAGGATTCATCAAATTTCTCAAGTGGAGATCAAAGCTCAGATCAGATAAAATGTCAAAAAATAATGTAAATAGAGAATTACAGTATATTTTTGCCATTTTATTCACTCAACTTTTTTCTAATGTTTTCAGTGACATTTGCTACCTGTTTCTGTGTGCAGGGCCTGGGCGCCTCGTGTTTTATGCACGCTGCTTGCTTGTGTCTTGTGCGTTTTTTCTGTGCTGACTTATCAGATCAAAAGAAAAGCAGGATTTCAGTGTCAGCTGTAATGGGGAGAGATTAATGTCTTTCACAGATCGAAATCATGACATGAACAGCTAGCTGGCCAGCGCAGCTGATTGACAGTTATGACACTTACCTTTTGGCACATAGTTTGAAATAGTCATTCCAAATATTTGAGCGGTATTGTACATGATTACGGTTACATGATTGATTACATAGTTACATAAGGATTTTATTTACATTAAACTCTGTGTTCTAGGTTTTGAGTCTGAACTTTTGGCTTTTTTCCCCTGTTTAATTTGATGTCAACAGATAAACATGCAGCAAAAAATAAATCTCATATCCTACTAAAATTCACAAATGAAATCATTTGAAAATGTTCTTGTTTAAAAGTATATTTAGTACTTTCACTAGAATGTCCAGTAGTTTCAAGGAGCTGTGAGTAAAAAAAAAAAATAATTAAAAATTATTTCCCACATGATTTCAATCATGTTAAATCAGGATTATTCAGCTCAGTCTGTCAAAGACTTGAGCTTCTACAACACGTGTCCAACACTGGTTCTGGAAGGCAGTAGTCAAGTACAGCTTGCTTAAACACACAAAATCTAAGTGATTTAGGCGGTGTGTTAAGGCGGTGTGTTAAAACCGAACTGTGCAGGCCTTTGTGCCTCCAGAACCAGAACTGGACACCCCTGGTTTCTGATGTGTGGTCCGACCATGCTATAAAACCATCTAATTGTATTTATAAAGAAGCTACCTTAAGTGGTGAAGTCACATGGTGTTTTGTAAGTATGAATATATATATATATATAGGGACATAACCCTGAGTTGACTGAACTGACCAGCCCTGCTTTAGTTGATTGTGCTCTTGCACTGTTGAGTGATAACTATTATAAGCACAGTCTATTAACAAGGGTAGTGTTAAAGCATAGGTACCCAACCCTGCTATTGACTTTATCTCCTACCCTGATTTAATGCCTCTGGCACGAATGCCCAAGCGCTCCTAAAGACCTTGATTTGCTAGAATGGGTGTGTTTGATTAGGGTGGGAACTGAAGAGCCGGGTTGGGCTGGGTTAAAACTGTTTAGGGTGTTTTTTTAAAGCTATTAAAATAGTTTTGCTTTCTGAGAACCTTTTAAAATCTTAAAGTATTAAGATTTTAATACCTTAAGTTAGATGTGAATATAAAAACATTGTAACTGAAACATTAAGGCTGTGTTGCTTAGATGCTTTTAAATATCAAACTCATAGGTTGTATTCTTTTAAATGTCACTCACGGTAAATCAACAGCCACTGGGCTAATTCTAAACATACAGCGTCCTTGAGTGTGCACTGCACGATAGCACCTTATATAGTCGTTAGTCATGTCCAGCCTTGCTTAGGCATTGAGGGACATAGCAACAGCAAGTGTCGTCTGACATCTCACGTTAAAGCATCTGCCAAGCGAATGAACTTTGTGCGAGCGGGCCTGCGGGCCTGCAGGGACGGCCCGGCAGCTTTAGTCATCTCAGCACACGGCCGTCCGCCTCTCGCTCCGCGGCTCCTCGCTAATCAGCAGCTGCGGACAACAGCAGTCCAGCGCAGGAACATAGGAGCCAATGGAGGGAACGAGGGATAAGGAGTATGAATCACTCACTCGTGCGACTTTCCGCAAGATTGGCTTCCAATGCACAGTTTGTGGGGTGCTGCTGGCGGAGCTGCGAGACGGGATGGAGACTTCCTCTGTGGGCCACTGACCTTCTCTCAGAATAACCTCTAACTGGACTGCTTTCTCTTTCTCTCTCTCTCGGCTGCTCACCCACTGCTAACTTGCAGTCTGGGAGTAGTCAGTGTCAACTGACTAATGCTGTTTGATGCTTCACTCAAACACAAAGTTTCTGTAACATTTATAATAAATTCTAACACATTTTATATATGAAGCCCCTTTTTGATCTCAAAAAACATGCAAAGTTATTTAATGTTCAGATAAAGCACAAAAAGTGCTTTACATGGAGATTGAAAACAAAATGTAGGATGGATAGAAATACATATAAAATCTAAAGTTAAATTAACACTCTTAAAAAATAAAGCTGCTACAAAGTGTTCTCGCAGCAATGCCATAGAAGAACCACTTTTTATTCCCTAAAGAACCATGTTTAAAAAGAGATTTGTGACTCTGAAGAACTTTCACATGATGTCAAGGTTCTATACCAAATTAAAGGTTCTTCTTAGAGTTGTTACATTATGTGGAAGTCCTTTAAACTTTAAAAAGGTTCTTCCCACACATCTCATTTGCAAAATTGGTTCTCTTAAGAGCAAGCTCCAGAACTGGTTATTCTATGGCACCACACAAAGAAAAAATATGGCACTTTTACTTTTTAGGAATGTAACACACACACACACACACAAATTTTCTAAACCGCTTATCCTTCTGGGTCACGGTGGGGTGCTGGAGCCTATCCCAGCAGTCTTTGGGCAGAAGGCAGGAGACACCCTGGACAGGTCGCCAGTCCTTCGCAGGGCAGACAGACAGACAGACATATACGTCCACACACACACTCACACCTATACAGACAGACATATACGTCCACACACACACTCACACCTAGGGGCAATTTAGCGTGTCCATTTGGCCTGACTGCATGTCTTTGGACTGTGGGAGGAAACCCATGCAGACACGGGAAGAACATGCAGACTCCACACAGAAAGGACCCTGTTTAGCCAGGGAATCGAACCCAGGTCCTTCTTGCTGTGAAGTCTTGCACTGTGCCACCCAGGAATGCACATGAAAATTAAAACAACAATTAAATCAAACAAGACGGACAAAGGCCTATTTAAAAATGCGTTGTAGAAAAGAGAAACGATAAGTGTTTAAGTAATGATATGGATAAAAGCACTGATTCTGTATAAATGCAGTGATTTAAAATGCTTTTCAGAAGAAAAACTGTTCCTCCATCTCAGGTTTTCAGGAGGGGAATTTCAGAGTTTGGAACCATAGCAATTAAAAGCTGACCTTTTCACCTTTAGGTTTCTAAGATGACCTGAGTTACATGATATGTCCAAAACATCTGTAGACATCACTTCACCCAGCATTTTAAGGGTATTAATAGGGATTTTGTGCCACTTTGCTGCAGTAACAGGCTCTACGCTTCTGGGAAGGCTTTACACTAGGTGTTGGAACATTGCTGTGAGGATCTGATTGCATTCAGCCACATAAGCATTATTTAGGTCAGATACTGATGTTGGATGGTTAGTTCTGGATCACAAACATCACTCCATCTCATCCCATAGGTATTAGAAGAAGCTGCATTGCTCCAGAGAATGCAGTTTCACTGCTTCACAGCATCCCATTCTAATGGCAATGGAGATTATACAAACTGTGTATGCAGGAACTAATTAGTAGTATTAGTTGTGTCTGAATACTGTATGTAATGTATGTAATGCTCATTTTGCTGAAGTAGAGAGACGACATTTAAAAATGAATAAAAGAATGCTGTTATGTTGGGTCCATTGATGTTTAAGAATATGCTTTGTTCAGATGCTCATTATGTTTTTTGCATTGCTGCTTCGCCTCGTTTCCGAACCTTTTAACTAGCATTTCTCTTTGTGTTTCTCAATCTCTCCCACAGCGCCCTTGGAGGGCCCTCAGCCCTGCATATTCCTGCCTTCCCGAGTGGAGGTTGCCTCATTGACTACGTGCCTCAAGTGTGCCAGTTACTCACAAATAAGGTAAAAAGAAGCCATCTACTTCTGCATGCATGTGTCTGTGTGCCCACACATTCATTACGGGGATTATATAATGGCATGGCATACCCTGCATTAGTGCAGTGATGTGTGACGATGTGTGCAGTGAATTTTATTTTTACCCAGAGTTCTACCCCATGTTAGTTGCCGATTCTCTGTTGGTGTCTAAGTCTGCCGTATTGCACAACACTGTCATCTAGGCAGAGTAAAGACCTGTAGCCAGTCACTAAATCTTTTAGAGGTGTGTAGGACAGTTCAGTGCACTTGGAGGCGAGTGATGACTGCCCAGTCCTTTACACATGATCTAACAAATGCCCACAATTAGTTAACATCACTCTGATTGGCAGATGAAAGTAACTTGGCCCTCCCACAGAGTGACCAACACTAGTAATTGTGTTGCCTCTGATAGGACATTAAGGTAATAAGAAGGAGAAGGAGAAGAAAAAATAATAGTAATTTTTATAATGAATTTAATGGCTGATTCAGATTCTCATTTCTTTATAGCCAGTTTGGCTGATGTCATGCCATGCTTGCATGATTCTTACAACTAAGAGTCCTAGCAGGTTTCTGCAGGGGAGTCAGGCTTGCAGTCACAAATTGCATGTTTGTACTAAATGATTCAAACCTGTAGTAAAACACAACAAATACAGAGGACTAGCAGGTTCCTCCACTAGTATAGACTAATATAGGCAGATATATGCTTTAAACTATAATATTTACAGAACGATTCAGTGTAAAACTGCACCACACTAAGTAAAGGATATGCTACCTGTACATCTTACATGCTTCAAATATCAAAACTGTGATAAGTAATGTTAGCTTGACTGTAACAGCTGCTTAAGTGAATATTCTGCACAAATATACTTAATGAAATATTCCTGGTTATATGACCAAATAACCTTATGAATTTACTGAAATATGTTAGCTTAATGTTAGGATACATTTGTTAGCAGTCTGTGGAGATGACTACAGGCAAAAAAAAGCCTTAGAGCTGCTATGGAAGAGTGGAACTTAACATGAAGAACACAATATAATATAAAATAGTTTTTCAGTGTGTTTAATACTATCATTTTAAATAGTCAGAAATTACAATGCAAAATATAGAATTATTTCCATTTTTTAAACCAGCCAAAGTAAAGGAGTAAAATAAATAAATAACTTAATGCAGTGGCCATGTATTTGCTCACATTATGTACATCATAAACATCACAGCACAGATGGACTAAAGTGGTTAGAATAAATCAGCCGATTGCATATTAGGAGCAAAAATTCTGGCTGATTCCGATCCTGCACCCCTACTATTACTAGTAGTATTAGTAGTATACTAATACTACTAGTCATAGTTCTGTGCAATAGTATAGTTCTGTGCAATAGTACAAAAGGAGACCACCATTAATTTATTTGATTTTCCAGCCAGTAAGTACATTATTCCTTTTTTTAGTAACAGAAAAAAAGCTCAAAACATATTTAACAGATGCAGAACAGAAGCCTGAACAGCTAAATATGGTATCAGTTTTTTCAGTAGTTAACGTGGCCACTCTTTGCCTTTATTACAACTTTTCTTTTTAGATTTGCTTATTTGTTTTTCAAAGAAATCTGCAGGGACATTTTCCACATTTCCAAATGTTCGGTCTTAGTAGCTGGTTGCATTTTCTGCTTCTTAAGGTCCAAGTGATCCCACATTCAGTGATGTTGAGGTCTGAAGTTGATTGTCCTGAGAACACCTGCAGATTTTTTGTTTGTTTTGTAACTCATTGTGGTTAAAATAAACATGTAGAATATGTGTAAACTATATCCAAACCTGACCACGTTCAATAATGTTGAAGTCTGGACTCTGGGGCGGTCAGTCCATTGGACTGCAAATGAACAAATAAATAAATGCAGTGACCTTGTACTTGCTCACATAGTGTACATCATAAACATCACAGCACAGATCGGCTAAAGTGATTGGAATAAATCAGCCGGTTGCTTATTAGAAGCAAAACCTCTAAACAATCCTGATCCTGCACCCCAACTATTATTATTAATAGTAGTAGTGTTAGTAGTAGTAGTGGTAGGAGTAGATGTAGTTGTGGTAGTAATATGTATGAAGTACCTTTGAAGCAATGAAATAAGGCTCAAAACACCTTTCATGCAGTGAAAACGTCTTACACAAGCTTGGTTGTAATCAAATCTACCAACATAAGGACAACAATAAAAGACAAAAAAACAAGATTAAATCAGTTATACTATAAATCGGATTTGCATGTGTTCATGCAGGCAAAGATGAATGCTTGGCTGCACACATGTGGAGTGTGTGTATTGGCTGGCTTCCATGGCCTGTTTCAGGCTGGAAGGGCAGGAGGGCTGACAGGTGGAGATGGACTGGATAAGCTGTGTTCTGTCAGTGGCCGTAGGGATGGCCTCTGCCCCCTTGTCCCCCTCAGCCTGCCCCGCTCTCGGCTCCCTGGACCCCTCTCACCTGAAGAGCGGCCCACACACACAGAGAGACAGCATGCATAATCAGGCCCTGCCCATGTTCCAGAGCCAGCGCCAGCCAGGGCCCGTGGCCACGCTCACCTTAACCAGGGTCATGGAGCAGGGGGAGGATGTGCGCTGGGCCATGGTACTGTGGGCGGACCTGGATAAAATCTGACAAGGGTGAAAAATTGTGTATCAGGTGAATAACTAGGCTGGTAGAGTTAATATAAAATTGCTGGCAAATTAACAAATTCAGTTTTGTCTTAGTAGGGCGGCAGGGTACACATTACTTTGATTTTCTTTTTTTTTTTTTGAATGATTCGTAGTTTTTAGGAGATTTGTAACATCCTATGCACAATTACAGATTGCATCATACGAAAATTAGACCGCTCAGCGCTGAAAGTGAAAGACATTCACCCATTAATCATATACCGTTCTTAAACACACAGACACCTACACATGTACGCCCACGTATACACAAACACAAATAGACACACACAGTAAGTCAGGTTCTGAAGTAATGCCATGAAGCATGTCTAACGACTAGATTTCTTAGCAGTGACTCACTTTTCTGTCACCCACGCCCATCCACACTTACCTGCCAATAAGAGGGCTTGGCCTGGGCTGCGTGTCATGGCGCTTTGCCCCCGGCGAGGGTGTGGAGTGCAGTGATGCAAAGTTCCTGCCCTGCTTGCTTCAGGAACTAAACAAATACAGCCTAGAGAAAGGGCCTGGCTGGGCTGGGCCATGTCTGTGTGTGTGTGTGTGTGTGTGTGTGTGTGTGTGGGGGTGTGTGTGTGTGTGTGTGTGTGTACTTGTTTTCATACACTTTCAAGACAAAATGTCCTTTTTTGTAGATAGAGCAGACGAAAACCATTTTCACAAGCTTTTTACAAAAGGTACTTGTGTCATTTTTAAAACTGAACAAACTTTTTTGTTCAGTTAAATGAACAAAAATATAAGTTAAATTTAAGGATAGGGTTTAGGACTATGCTTAGAAACATCTTTTTACAAGTACTTACATTATACATGGGATTTGTCATTATATATATGCACAGTCCTGTGCAAAAGTCCAGAAGGAGACCACCGTTCATTTATTTAATTTCCACTCAAAACAGTCAACTATGTTATTCCTTTTTTTAGTATCAGGAAAAAAGCTTAAAACATATTTAACAGACACAGAACATAAGCTTCAACAGCTAAATATAATATAATATCTGTTTTTTTCAGTATTTAATCTGTCCACTTTTTGACTTTATTACAGCTTCTATTCTTTTTAGGAGATTTACTCTTTTTGTTTCAAAGAAATTTGCAGGGAGATTTTCCAAAAAATCCAAAGTTCGGTCTTAGTAGTTGGTTGCATTTTCTGCTTCTCACGATCCAAGTGATCCCACGTTCAATCCTTTGGAATCCGTGGTCCTGAGGACACCAGCAGCTTTTTGTTTGATTTGTTAATCATCATGGTTAAAATAAACATGTAAAATATCTCCAAACCTAACCTTTAGCATGAAGAACAACATGTTGTAAAGCATTTTTTTAAACAACTGATGAACAGTGAGGTAATTAACAGAAGCCAAAATTCTGGGTAGCGGTGGCCCTGGTGTTAGAATATTTATACAGTATTTATATTATTTATGACTGTGTGTTTCTGCTGTTTATTTGGAATTTAAAAGTGTGACAGTCATATATGTCTATAAAGCACTATTTAACTGAAACCGTTGGAAATGTAAAATATAAATATAACATTATATCAGCTGATATTATCGGTTATCAGCGTTTTAGCCCCTTAAAACTGGTACTCGCCACAGAGCTTTTTATTTTAGTTAACCCTATTACATATATACATAAAATACATTTGGGACAGTATGCACATCCTGACGTTGTTTCAGATGTGTGTGCAGACTTGTGTGTGTTCTTCTGTTAGTATGGTCTAGCACACTGCCACTTTCTGAAATGAGTACTTTGCACACACACACACACACACACACACACACGGTCTAGCTGAGTCATGGATTGGAGATTCTGAAGTGAAATGCATACACAATCATGTCCTTTACATAGCTGCTCCACTGTGGACTTAAAAGAGTGAAAAACTGTATAATCTCACTGTTTTGACACTACTATCCATGTTAGTCAGGTTCATATGCTGTAAAATATAAAAAGTATGCTGATGCTTAGAAAACTGATACAGATTCAAGTGGTATTGCTTTTTCCTAATAACCAAAGCATGTTCCGTTTAGCTTTTGTCTGGCTCTACTTCAGTTACCTTCATGGTGTGTTAGTAAGCCTTGCGCCCTCATTCTTGTTCTGCTAATCGATTGTGCACGGCACCTTCAGCTAGCAGACACCGTTTGCCACAGTCTGCAGGACATGCTAACAGCCAGCTCATGTGTCAGGCAACAACCTTATTAGCCAAAACTGGATGTGTTTATATTACTTTAATGCTGCTTTCTTTGGCTTAAGCATGAAATACATGCCCTGGGTTGTTAGCGACCTCATTTCACTCTTTTTACTTCATCCATATTTTTCAAATAAGTGACAAAACAAAACATGAAATATAGTTGCATTTATAATTTTTTTTCCTGTCAGTAAACTGACAGTTGGCTCATTATAGATCAATTTGTGCATAAAAGTTCGGAGTCACTAACAAACAATCCTGAATTTAAGGGTTAAATTAGATTATTCCCTGTTTCACAGATTACCAAAAGTACAAAGTAATGCTTTAGAGTTTGCAGTCGCAGAAGGAGGGGCTGCTGTTCAGGTGTGCAGGGACTGCAGAAAGAGTGTGCTTGCTGCTTGCCTGTGCTTGTTTGCTGCCAGTGCAGAGTTTCAGTGTTCCTCTGGAACCACTCTGCAAGCACCACCCTGCGCTGCCACACAAACGGCAATAAGGCGTCTTAAGACAGACAAGTATATAGTTATGCTGACAGATATTTTTGTGCCGGTAAAATCAACCAATATTGTTCTACAGATTCATTTGTAAGCACTAATAATGTGTGGGATTGGACCAAATTCGCTTTAGAACAGATAGTGATTTTTGTGTGTGTGAACACAGTACATTTATTAGATGTTTTGTTAAATAGAACAGTGTAGTTTAAAGTGCTCATATTCATTTTTTAAAGTAGAAAGACTTTAATGTAGTGTATGAGCATTGCTAAAGTTTCAATTTGTACTCTCAGTCCATACAGTTGTATTCAAAAGTTGTAACACCCATGGCTGTGGGTTGAGGTAAATGCACATACATAAAAGAAAGCAAAAAAACACATTGAGAACATGGGTCTTAAGAGAACTACCTGCTGATTAACGCTGTAACACCTTTAGAGGTCAGCAGTAAGTAATATTTGTTTGAGCTGAGGTCAATTCAGAGCTTATGTGTTTCAACACAAAATAATCATCAGTAATTGAAATTGAAAATCAAACAAAACGCCAATCATCTAAATGTGCAGGTCCAGGCTTGAATTGGTTAGTTGAATCCAGTTTCTGCTTCATCAGAATTGCGTCTCCCTCAGCAAAACACTGCCATTGCATCATTGGTGTGTCACCAACGTGAGCCATGAGCCTGTTCATTAGCAGGCTGGACTCTGCTGTTGACCCCCAACAAAACACAGCATACGCCGAGTATGCACTCGTCATCCATCCCTGGATCACTTGTTATTTGTACCCTCACACATTGGCACAGGCAGTGGAGGTGATTCAGTAATTCCCTGTTCATTCATTGTGATTCAGTATTGCTGCTTTGCAGAAGCTGTGAGAATTGGATTTATTCCTTTCCGGCTCTTGTGTTATCCATTGGTGGAAGACTTTTATTTATTTTAATTTTTTTAATTGAATCTTCTCATTTCTCTGTCCTGCTTTTTCACCCTCCAATTCAGGTGCAGTATGTTATTCAAGGCTACCACAAGAGGAGAGAATACATTGCTGCCTTTCTTAGTCATTTTGGAATGTGAGTTTTCCTCCTCTCCCTTGTTTTGGAATAAAGAAATGCTTTGCAAAAATGGACAAAATGTATGGATAAAATTTAGGCTTCAAGATGACCACAACTGCTTTTTTTGGCCATGTTTTGTTGTGCTAGTACTTTTTATAGTTCATGTTTATAGATAACAGTATGTCCTACAGTGTCAGAAACCACACAGACAAGTCTATTTGAGATCACTAAACACGATTCAGGGCAACTGCAGGATGATTTTTGGCATGCCGTTTTGCACTATGCTAATTAGCGTGGTAAGCTTCCATTACTTGCCAGCTTTGTAGCTCCAGTGCAAAACTAAAGAAGCAAACTTTAGACACCAAACAAATAGGGGAAAATTGTGTAGAATTTACTTTTTCCACCAAACTTCTTTGAAATATATACATACACTGGTCCCAAAATGTATTTAAACGCTTTAGCCATTTGACTTCAGCCATTGGTAAACTTTAATGACGTTCTTTAGGTTACTTTATAAAATGATTTGTTTCTGAGAAACAGTTTTGGCACAACATCAGACTAATGTTAGACTCTTTATGTGGAGAAAGCATGGAGATGAATTGGAACCAAACTGCACTGGGGTCTGGGGCTGTTTTTCATACAGTGGTCTCTTTAACTTATGTTTATTGTTGAACTCATGAATTCAGAAGTGTACAAAAACAGTAGTTTCTTTGCAGACTTCTATAGACCTTTATAAAGAACGCTTAGCTAGACATTTTGGAATGGTCTGTACTAAAAAGAAAAATGCCACTCGGCATTTTGTTTCCTAACTCAATGTACAGTCTTATACAAAAGTTTAGCCGCCCCTGGTCAAATCAGTTTAGTTGATGTTTCAAGTGAACACCTCATCTACAGAGAACACACTTTTTGAACATTTTAATGTTTAATTACTGTTTATTTCCTGAACTTAACACATTGGCAAGGAAAAAGTAAACGTAAAATGCGCCCTGTGCAAAAATTGTGACACTTCACATTTATGGGTTTTTACCCGGTATGTAAACTCAAGCAAATAAGAAGAAACAGTGGACTAAAATTTTCAGGGAAATGCCATATTTAAGTTTGTTCCCTGTAGAGGATGTATTATGTTCTTTTTACTTACTGACTCAACAGAAAGTGAAGAGTTTAATTCAGTGTTACAGTGCAGTATTGTAACCATTTTTGAATATAATAAGTTTTTGAAGAGATTAACAGCTAACATATAGTGGGAAACATTTATATTTCTCAAATTAATGTGGTATTAATCACAATATAGCATTGATATTTCTTGTATGTGTAAAGCCCACTCCCTACAAAATACATCATGAGAAAAGAGTGAATTCTTTAAAGTGGTCTGTAATGTATTTTGTTTTTTACTGGGGCTGTTCAAACTTTTTCAAACTTACATGTAGAATATTTAAGATGTGTAGTTGAATTTATATAAGATGTGTAATTTAATGTGTAATTCTGTTGTCTCTGTGCAGGGGGGTGGTTGAATATGATGCTGTGGGCTTTACTAAACTCACTCTTCTACTCATGTGGAAAGACTTCTGTTTCCTGGTCCACGGTGAGTGTTTGATGGACATAACACACATGACCAGAAATCAGTCTCATATAAAATTACTCATCACTGATATTAGTGATCAGTGACAACATCCTGCCACTTGCCCTTCTCGTATAAGACTGCCCAGCTTTAATCCCCAGTGCTGCTTTCACTCTCTGAAGAAACTCATATTGTTCCATAGTTATGTCCTTGTTTCTGTTTTACCCTTCATTGTGGGAGCTGGGAATGAGAAGCTTTCTCTTTCTTTCTCTCTCATATTGTAGTGGACCTGCCTCTGTACTTCCCCCGAGACCAGCCCACACTGACCTTCCAGTCCATCTACCACTTCACCAGCAGTGGACAGCTCTACTCCCAGGTGCAGAAGTCCTACCCTTACAGCCCACGCTGGGATGGCAACGAGATGGCCAAAAGAGCCAAGTAAGCCAGGACACTCAAAAAAATGATCCTAATTTTAATGCTTAGTTGCTTGGTGTGAGTTGCCTGCAACATTTTGTCAGGAAACTGACAAAATGAAAAACTACCAACCTTGAGTATCAGCTCGGAGATCTCCCTTTCAGCCGTCCAATAAGCCATCTTCTATTCGTTTCATTTATTTTCTTTTCTACCGATCCATTGAAATCAGTAGTTTGAGAGTATATAGTTTGACAGGATCACAATATGCGTTATTTGCATTTTGTTTGGTTTCATGAAACTTGTCCTAGGAAGTTAAGATGCTTGCAACTGTTGCAGTTGAATTTCAAGTGAGTTGCAGGACACTTTACATTATGAAACTCAAGTACAATTCAGTTTCATGTAGGTTTTAAGCAACTAAAGTTGCATTAAGTTTTCGCAGTGTAACATTGAGTTTCCAGTCTAAAATGCTACGCTCCAACCTAGACTACATTGCTGTTTCTTATTGAAACTAGAATGAAAACGACAACCAGTTTGCGACCATGTTAATGTTAGCTAAACTGCATAACAAAAATGACACCTTATCCTAACATTGTGAACTTCCACATGCATACAAAAAAAAATATTGTTTGAAATTCATAACACCCTCTAAATTTAACTAGTTTTGACAAAACTGATTTGTGAGCTACAGTTTCTCATTAGGTTGAATGGCATTTTGCCATTATGTAAAGCTTGCTAGTTGCTACAGAAGAGTGCATTTGTGGCTGAAGCATGGATAGGTCAAATGAGTCAGTCCATGCTGTTAAAAACAGAGAGAGCAGATTGGTAGTTTGGAGCGTGGAATCTTTCACTGCTGTAGAGGATCTGCTGACTGCCTCAGTCCTCACCTTCACACATTCCACCTCTTTCATCACTCTGGCCTGCTTTGTCTGGATCTCCAGTTGACCCTGTCTCCAGCAGGCATGTACAGTGAAATGTTTTACTCTCACCTTTGGCCTGCATGGATAGCCACACCTCACTGCTGGAGAGCGTGATAAATGCTGGAGATAATGAATTCCCAATGTTTGTACTTTGGTCTCCATAATAGAAAATCCATATCTTATCATACCTGACCAGCAGAGTTTCTCCCTCTCGTTGTGTAAGCAAACAGTCTGGATGGCCTGTGTTCTTTAAAGGATCAGTGGCAAATAATATTCATGTCTTGAAGTTGTATTAGAAATTGTGGACTAGTATGTATAAATCAAGGACATCTAGTTTTATTTTCAGGCTTATATATATTGTATATAATGTACTGTGCAAAACTATTAGCCATGAAAATGTTGCTAATGTTCATCACAGTGATAAGGCAAAACAATATATAACAAAATAAATACAAATAACCATAAATACAGTAAAAAGTAAGAATAATTTATAGTTTTAAGTAAATGTATTGATATCTAGAAGAACACAGGTCTGGTTCTTGACTTCTCGCTGCACTCCAGCCATTGCATGCATTTGTCAGATTCCATCAGCAGCACACCTGATTTAATTGAAGGAAGGACTGATTAGATAAATTAGGTATTAGATTCTCAAGTAGAGCTTTGGAAAGGAGAGATATGCTGTTTTATGGTAAACTTTCTTGAAATTTGTCCTTTTCCTGCCTAAGTTTGCCCAGTCTGGGAGCAGCACATTGGGTGGTTAAGGGCTTTGCCCAAGGGCATAGCCAGGAATGCCCAGTCCGTCCCAGGATATGAACCCACAACCTTCTGGTTGCATGCTCACCTCTCCTACCACTAGGCCAATTGCGTTTAGTTGTATTTATTCTAGTGGTGTCAAAGTTAACGTGTTAACACAATAAATTATTGACCTCACACTTTTTTTTATATCATTAATACATTTTCAAGCCTTATGTAGTTCCAGTCTGAAGCCCAGCTGCTTGTGTGCTGTTATTGCTGTGATTCCATGATTGTAGCCCTCTCGTTCAGATACAGCTTTCGAATAGCAAGTTCCATTGATTTGTTCTCTTCATAAAAGTTATTTCCAGCTACTAACCTGCTGAATTTATTTATCGCTGACGTACGTCAGGTCCAAAGTATTATGTACAAGCAAAACACACCGCTGACACCAGCAATATCAGTAATACTGGTAACATTTAGCCCTGGAGGACGCCTTTGGATGGCTACACTGGACATCGCTGGCAGGAGATCTATGAATGAATTAATAACGTGCTGCAAACTAACAAAAATAAAGTGGAAAGCTCCAGTTTCTCTCAAAACAAGCCGTAACAGCAACATGAGGGCGAGAAGGCTACAATCGCAGAGTTGGAACATGAAGCTGTTGCTCTCACTGGATGTCACTGATGAAAATTGGAAACTACATTCACCCTATTTCCAAGTCCAGCCAGCGTTGATGTGGTTTCAGTTTCAAGTTGAATTATTAAAGGTAGTAAATAGAGGATGATGCTTATTTGTTCTCACACATAATTATAACAAATCGCAATGCTTTTTAAGAGGAAAACAACTTTCTTTACAGTCAGATTTGAGCCAACAAGACAAATGTGATTAATCGTGATTAACTACATGAACTAATATGATTAATCACTTTGTTTGGCAGTCCTAATTTATTCTACTGCTTTTCATGTATACTCTCCATGATGAATAGAATTACATATCAATTTCTCAGATGGCCTCTGACTTTTGCTCAGTACTGTATGTACATTTATTCTGAAAATAAATAAATAAATAAATAAATAAAATTTTAATTCTCTCTCTCTCCCTATAGGGCGTACTTCAAGAGTTTTATCCCTCAGTTCCAAGAGGGAGCGTTTGCCAATGGAAAACTGTAGATGCAGAACACGATAGAGGAAGATATATCTGCACATCTGAAATGAAGAGAAATGGCTGGTAAAATCTGTGCTGAAGAGAAGAGATGGCCTTGAACGAAGATACAGAACACTGCACGCTGTCCTTCATGTTTGAGAAAACTCTCCCAGATATGCACTCAAACCCGATGCCACCATGAACAGTCCATCTGAAAAATATTTACTGTTCTGCACTGGAGAGTCTAAACGGAACTGTGTTTACTAAACAGATTCAGGTTAACTGAAGACTCCAACAAGAGGGAAGCTTCTTTGTGTATGTATGTGTTATTCTTATCATGTTTTTCTCTTGTTTTTGCACAATGCCTGTTCCTCCTTATTTGAGAGAGCTAAAATAAATCCATTTTCTTCTGTTTTCTAGTTTCACATCACTGAACAGCTTTTTATAATTCATTGTACTTTGATGTAAAAGGTTGTATCTACTTTTGTAATCCCTGTCAGAATCATGGAAACATTAAGAGAAGGTGGTGAGCACAATGAGTAAATCATCAACTTAATACAATTTCAAATTCAGTCAGAACAGAAGCCATCAGCTTTCCACAGTAAGGGTACTGTGGTACTCATTTCATTCTCTTTCCATGCTTGTGATGGAGCGGTTATGGTAAACAAGAGTACTCAGCTCCATCAGTCAAGGCCTGCAGTTTCTATTTGAGCCCTTAACATCACCAACTGATATTACTAATGAGCTCTAATAAGCTCTCCTCCTTAGAGCCATAGAGGGTAACATAGTCCCTCAGCTATTACTGCTGTCCTAAAGTAGGTTATCTAAACCCATAACAATAGTAAAAATATTATTACTTCTGGGAAATAATGACTGTAATAAAAGTAGCTCTCCAAAAACATGAGTAATAGTAAAAACAATACAGATGTAATCACAAAAAAAAAAAACAGAATGAAATTAAGCCACCTCTTTACTCGGACCCTGCTACATGCCATTAACATAACAAACATGTCACTGTAGATGTCATATGCTGTCATGTTTGTCTTGACCCATTTTGTTGAGTAATACAATGTTTGATGTCATGGTTGCAAACTGGAGTACTAACTCAGGTACGCCTAGCAAAAAATAGCATGTGACATAAGCTGTCCTAACATCAAACACTATGGGATCTGTCATGATAATTAACAGTGTTACAAGACACTGTTATATTACTGAACAAATCTGTCACAATAACTCGTGACAGCATATGATATCTGCCATGACATGTTTACGGCATGATTATATCAGTGTTACAGAGCAGAGTTCAAGTTAATTAAACGCAGAAAATGAATTAAATGTAAACGACTAAAATGCAGATATAAATATATAGTTGAAAATATTCAGGGAAAGACATCTATTAACATTTTACTTGAGTAAGTGGAATGAGTTATACCCACTGCTGCTGCTGCCAGTCACTGTTTTGCTTTTGCCATTTTAACATGTAATGCAACAACTGCTAATCTGTATGGTGATTTTCAAAGTGGCCTCATGTAAATTCTCATTCAACACTTCTTACATAAAAATCCATTTTTTTTTGGATGGATTTGTTTTAGAATCAGTTCATTTACCAAAGATGGAAAATGAATTGTGAAACCGCAAGACATGTTAAGGCTCTTTATTTATAAAGCACCTTTCATACACTGCTGTCATTCGAAGTGCTTTACAATTGAGAAAATACTTTGCTTAAAGTTGCTTAAAAAAAGTAAATGAGCATAGAAATTAAAAACATGATTAAAACAATGCATTTAAAAGAGAAAATCATTCAATTAAACATCAAATTAGAAATGTATTTAGGATAGTTAAAAATCTAATTAGAGATTAAAAGTTAGATTCAGATTAAACAAGAACTGTTGATAAACTGTTGACTGTTTTAAAACTGTTGATGCTTTACTCCATATCAGAGATCAGCCTGATTCTCGCTTCATAAAGCACATTCTAAGCTATTTATATAACATATTTGAATATGACACACCTGTTATGATCACATTTCTGCCTTCAGCTACATGTGGGTTTGTGGAATACTCAGGCTCAGGAAAATACATTAAGATCAACCACCAAAACAAAAGGAAATGCATCAGACTTTCAGACTGGATGTAAAATGACGTCATGATAGTCAGTTGCTTTCTTTTACAGGCCCTTAAGTTCTAGGTATTATGCAGTTAAGTACAAACTCTAGAGTACTAAGTAATATTTTGGAAAACATGATAAGTTCCAAGACAAATTACACTGAAATGCCCACAAGGTTCTAGGTATTACCTGTGAGAGTGTGAGGTACAAACTCTAGTAGTGTGTAATGGTTTTGGGTGAAAAGTACCAGGTAGTTCTATAACATGAAAAGATCACACACAAACAAATTACAAATGGTCTTTGACAGTATGTACCTGTCTGTCACCTATAAACGAAACTCAATATGGGCTGTAAAACAAAGCAATGATTCTTACTGTGGTTTTACTGGGTTATGACAGTTTACCTCAGAGCACTATCTTTGTATTTTATGCTGTCATTTTATGGCATATAACTTACCCAGTACTTTCCAGTGTTTCCAGTTTATATTCCTGCTTAAACCACTTGACATTACAGTGAAATGTAGTGTGACCACCTTGTTACTCCAAATACTTTAAGGTATTTTACCACATCCTCTCTCAGCTGAGGTGACAGAACCAGAGCCATTTCAGTGTAGTTTAGTTAGACTGTCTTGGTGCTTGTAATCAAGGCATATTAGAGATTGTACCCCACACTTACCCAGTTAGTATCTAGAACCTGTTGGGCTTTTCTGTACAGTTTAGTTAAACAGTCTCAGAACTTGTCATCATGCTACCCAAAATAATCATCTAGTGCTTGGGAGGTTGTACTCTATGCTTAACTGGTAAATACCTAAAACTTACCTAAAGGCAAATTCCACCAGTTTTTCAAAATTTCTGTCAATCATTGAGACTCTTTTTTTTTTTTACAGTGGTGGTGATAGAAACCAGGGGTTTGCAATGTGTACAATACAAATATAGCCTTTTTAGTTACTTTCCAAAACCACCAGTGAACCTACACGTGCATGCTCAGTTTTTATGTGTGATGTTGATGATATAAAGTAGTGGCAAAACTAAAAGAAAAAACACATTTTCTTTGGGGACTTTTATGCCTTAGAACACCCTGCATTCACACTTTATTTGGAGTGGTCCTTTGTAGATGATTAATAAACTCTCAACAGATTATCAGTAACACATCAACAACATCAGTGAAGAAGCAGTAGTGAAGTGTCTGAATACATTGGAGTAAATATCTTGGAGATGTTCTGTTGGTACATTACTTACATTAAGTAGATGTATTGTTAATATGTTACTTCCATTACACAAAACCTAACCTTACACAACCTTAGCCAAAACCTAACCCTCACCCTGGCCCTAATCCTAATCCTAACCCTAACCTCAACCTGAAACCTAATCCTAACCCTCATATGTTTTTGATGTTACTGAGAGTCTGTTGAGTGTTTGTTTCATCTGAATGGAGCACTCAAAATAAAGCGTTACCTAACTTTTTAAGCCAAAAAATTGTCATAATAAAACAATGTCTCAGGCACTCGGCAGCATATTCGTAATCATTTCGTGTAATAACTTTCTGTGTGGGAGCTTTTTGCGGTAATAAACGCTTTAGACATCTGGTTCCTATCACCACCACTGTGAGCAATTCTAACTCAAAGTTTCTCTAGAATGGGGTGTTTCTCATCAAACCACTTTTACTGTTTACATTTGAATGATTCAGTTAGGCAGAAATTTTGAAATATTGGTGGAGTTCCCCTGCAAAACCCTATAAAAGAAAGTGTTACCATTTTGTTTCGTGTTAGTCCTCAGAGCACTGGAGTGTGTGGTGCTGCCCCAGTAAACAGCTGTTTAGTGAAACTAAAAGGGCATATTATTTCCTTTGCGAAGTGAAAGACACTCTGTGGGTTTGCTCAGTTGTGCACTATTTCTTGAAATAGTTATGAAGCAGTGCATGTATGTGAGAGGGTGGGTGGTGTTCGTGTTTCGTTATCAGCTTCTCAGAGGACTGAGAGCGTATTTATTCTGACATTAGTTGCATACGTGCCCAAATCCGATTGCTTCTCATCTTGCTAGATAAATTGTCAAGTGTCAGCAGCAGCAATGCTGATGATGCTCTTGTGAACATGTGTGAACACTAGTGGAGAAAATGTGAGTGCACTGCAACAGAGGAGACGAAGCCTCATACTGAGGGACTATATGAGCGAAAAGCACAACGAGAGAGAGAGAGAGCGAGCGAGAACGCCACTGTGTGCTTGCTTGTTTTTCATCATTAAGCACGAGGGTCATTGTCAAGGGTCTTTGTTGGCCTGGGGGCCGGCCTACTGCTATATTTATTGTTCGTAATGTAGCAACTGTCATGTCTAATTGGGAACTGTGGGATGAATGTATCTGGGGCATTTAATAGAATCAAGTCTCTTAATACAAGAATTAAAAGCAAGACTCTTTTAGTCTGTTTTTGCTTCCATCCATGCTTTGCACGGTAACCTTTACTGACCCGGTTTAAATCGCCTCACCAATCGCAGCAGTGATGCCTTCATTTTTACAAGAAGCAAAGACAGTGTGCTTAAATGCTCATGAGTGCTTTAAGTGGGCTTTGAGACATCACTGGATCACGGTTTGTCAGTTTTCTGGACTTTCTTGACACCTGAAACATTAGGGGTCAGTTTCCCGCACAGAGATTAAGCCTTGCAGTGTTCCTTTCAATGGAGAATGTCCATTCATAATGCTGTGTGGTCCAGGTCGAGGCTTAATCCTTGTATGGGAAACTGACCTTACGTCTACTTGAGTCTGCATACATAATACAACATTTTTTGAGCAATTTCAATGTAATTCATACAGTTATTCATATGCAACATACTTGTATCGATACATAAAACCATTTTAAAGCCATTGAGATTGTTCTACGGACGTTTTAAGTGATCTACCTGAGCCACTGGGGACACAGATTCCTGGCCCTAAAATGAGGTGTAGTTCAAGCTTGTTTTTGGAAGATGCATTCTCCCCCCCTCACGCTCTCTACTTTTAGTACAGAGGTCTTGCCTGCCAACTTGGCTGTTAATACGCTAAATCCACTAATCCTGCCTTATTTAAACCATCTCGATGGCAGCAGGCCGAAGAAAATAAGAAGCTTGGCAATTTAAACGATGCTTAGATTCATTAATTGCCATGGCATTATCATTCCGAGCCAGTGATTTAGCCTATGGAGGATCATGGTGTACTACTGTAGCTACTTGAGGAAGTTTTTTAGCAAAGGTGTTTTTCAGCAAACTTATTTTAAATGTATGAAATAACACCCAAGTCGACCATGAAACCCAGTGAATATGCCATTTGGACGTTAAAGAAA